TTTCCTAATATCCAACCTAAACCTCCCCCACTGCAACTTGAGACCATTGCTCCTTGTTCTGTTACCTGGTACCACTGAGAACAGTCTAGATCCATCCTCTTTGGAACCCCCTTTCAGGTAGGTGAAAGCAGCTATCAAATCCCCCCTCATTCTTCTCTTCTGCAGACTAAGAATCCCAGTTCCCTCAGTCTCTCCTCATAAATCATGTGCTCCAGCCCCCTAATCATTTTTGTTGCCCTCCACTGGAGTCTTTCCAATTTTTCCACATCCTTCTTGTAGTGTGGGGCCCAAAACTGGACACAGTACTCCAGATGAGGCCTCACCAATGCCAAATAGAGGGGAATGATCACATCCCTCAATCTGTTGGCAATGCCCCTACTTATACAGCCCAAAAGGCCTTTAGCCTTCTTGGCAACAAGGGCACACTGTTGACTCATATCCAGTTTCTCGTCCACTGTAACCCCTAGGTCCTTTTCTGCAGAACTGCTGCCTAGCCACTCGGTCCCTAGTTTGTAGCAGTGCATGGGATTCTTCCTTCCGAAGTACAGGACTCTGCACTTATCCTTGTTGAACTTCATCAGATTTCTTTTGGCCCAATCCTCTACTTTGTCTAGGTCTCTCTGTATCTGATCCCTACCCTCCAGCGTATCTACCACTCCTCCCAGTTTAGTGTCATCTGCAAACTTGCTGAGTTTGCAATCCATGCCATCCTCCAGATCATTACTGAAGATGTTGAACAAAACCGGCCCCAGGACTGATCCTTGGGGCACTCCGCTTGATACCAGTTGCTAACTAGACATGGAGCCATTGATCACTATCCATTGAGCCCGACTATCTAGCCAGCTTTCGATCCACCTTACAGTCCATTCATCCAGCCCATAAGTCTTCAGCTTGCTGGCAAGAATACTGTGGGAGACCATATCAAAAGCTTTGCTAAAGTCGAGGAATAACACGTCCACTGCTTTCCCCTCATCCACAGAGCCAGTTATCTCGTCATAGAAGGCAATTAGGTTAGTCAGGCATGACTTGCCCTTGGTGACTCCATGCTGACTGTTCCTGATCACTTTCCTCTCCTCTAAGTGCTTCAAAATTGATTCCTTGAGGACCTGTTCCATGATTTTTCCAGGGACTGAGGTGAGGCTGACTGGCCTATAGTTCCCAGGATCCTCCTCCTTCCCTTTTTTAAAGATGGGCACTACATTAGCCTTTTTCCAGTCATTCGGGACCTCCCCCGATCGCCATGAGTTTTCAAACATAATGGCCAATGACTGTGCAATCACATCCTCCAACTCCTTTAGCACCCTTGGATGCCGTGCATCTGGCCCCATGGACTTGTGCTCGTCCAGCTTTTCTAAATAATTCTGAACCACTTCTTTCTCCACAGAGGGCTGGTCACCTCCTCCCCATAGTGTGCTGCTCAGTGCAGTAGTCTGGGAGTTGACCTTGTTCATGAAGACAGAGGCAAAAAAAGCATTGAGTACATTAGCTTTTTCCACATCCTCTGTCACTAGGTTGCCTGCCCCATTCAGTAAGGGGCCCACACTTTCCCTGATCACCTTCTTTTTGCTAACATACCTGTAGAAACCCTTCTTGTTACTCTTAACATCCCTTGCTAGCTGCAACTCCAAGTGTGATTTGGCCTTCCTGAGGTCACTCCTGCATGCAATATTTTTATCCTCCTCCCTGGTCATTTGTGCAATCTTCCACTTCTTGTAAGCTTCTTTTTTGTGTTTAAAGATCAGCAAGGATTTCACTGTTAAGCCAAGCTGGTTGCCTGCCATATTTACTATTCTTTCTACACATTGGGATGGTTTGTTCCTGCAACCTCAATAAGGATTCTTTAAAATACAGCCAGCTCTGTTCTCTCTGTATTCTGTGTTGTAATTGAAATCAATACATTTGAAAATGTAGAAAACATCCAAAAATATTTAAATAAATGGTATTCTACTATTGTTTAACAGTGCGATTAATCGTGCAATTAATTTTTTTAATCGCTTGACAGACCTATTTAAAACATAAACCTGTTTAAAATTAAATTAGAAAATGTCTACCTATGTTAAAGCCTAAACTTACTGTCATCCATTAAAATCATTTAAATTCAATATAAAAAATACTAAGTAGTGCATGCTTTAAAGAAAGTTCCACCAGTTTTAGTGATTTGAGTTACTGGCTATGCATCTGAAACCAGAGTTTTAACTTACCAGCAAGTTAAAGTAGTATGGATCGGATGAATGGACTATAAGGTGGATAGCTGGCTAGATCATCAGGCTCAACGGGTAGTGATCAATGGCACCATGTCTAGTTGGCAACCAGTATCAAGCAGAGTGCCCCAAGGGTCAGTCCTGGGGCTGGTTTTGTTCAATATCTTCATTAATGATCTGGAGGATGGCGTGGATTGCAAACTCAGCAAGTTTGCAGATGACACTAAACTGGGAGGAGTGGTAGATACGCTGGAGGGTAGGGATAGGATACAGAGGGACCTAGACAAATTAGAGGATTGGGCCAAAAGAAATCTGATGAGGTTCAACAAGGACAAGTGCAGAGTCCTGCACTTCGGAAGGAAGTGTTTCCTTGTTATTTATTAAGCGCAAAAGAAAATCCAGTTTTAATGTATGGTTGAGGTTTCAAGCTCAAGCACACGAGTGAGGATTAGTGTGTTAGGGTTTTATAGTTGAAACTGCTCTGCAGACTTAACTGTCGTGGACACTACCAGGAAGTACTTATTAAAATAACTGCTTTATAGACTTCTTATCCCAACATAACATCTAATTTACACCTGTCAGGGTTCCCCCGCCCACTCTGAATTCTGGGATACAGATGTGGGGACCCGCATGAAAGACTCCCTAAGCTTATATTCTACCAGCTTAGGTTAAAACTTCACCAAGGCACAAATTCCTTTCCTTGATTTTGGACAGTATAGCTACCACCACCAAATGATTTACACAAAAATTCAGGGAAGAGCCACTTGGAATCCCTATCCCCCTCAAAATATCCCCCCAAGCCCCTGCACCCCCTTTCCTGGGAAGGCTTGAGAATTATATACCAACCAACTGCCTTAGCAATGAGGGCACAGACCAGACCCTTTGTCTTCAGGACACTGAAAATCAATCAGGTTCTTAAAAGAAGAACTTTATTATAAAGAAAAAAAGGAAAAGAATCACACCTGCAAAACCAGGATAGAAGGTAATTTTACAGGGTAATAAAAATATTTAAAACAGAGGATTCCCCACTAGGCTCTTCTTCACAGTTAGAAAAACAGGAATAAAACTACCTCTGTAGCATAGGAAAATTCATACGCTAAAACACAAGATAACCTAACACATTTCCTTGCCTTACTTACAACGTCTGTAATTTTAGATGGATTATTCCAGGTATATTCTCAGGAGATGTTGTACCTGCTTGGCTTCTCCTTCCGTCCGGAGAGAGGAACAAACAAAGAACAACAAACAAATCCTTCCCCTCAGATTTGAAAGTATCTTCTTTCCTCATCGATCCTTCTGGTCATGTGCCAGCTAGGTTATTGAACTGTTTAATCCCTTACAGGTAAGGCAATTCAGTACAGCTGCCAAGGAGGGATTTTATGCTACTCTTTCCTCTATATTTATGACAACACCACATAACATTTGTTTGCATTACGTGGTTATCCATGTAGGCTCTTGGAAAGAGTTTGGAAAATGGTCAGTATTTCAGAGGTACCTCTATCTGCCATGTAACTCATTTAACATAATTTATTCACATAATAGAAGAGCTGAAAAGACTTTAAAATCTGGGTTAAACCAGAACCTTGTAGAATGCATGAAACTTTTACTTTTGTTAAAAAGGTAATTAAAATTGTAGAGACAGCAATTTGTAATTCAGCCTGTCCCAGGTGGCAAACCAGTCTTGTCCTGAGGACACTCTTCTTTAGCTATCCTTACCTCTGCTCCTTCTGGAGAGCCTCTGCATGCTGCTTGTTCTCATGCTGCCACATTTGCAGTTCGTTCTTCATGGAGTCCATGTCCTCCTGAATGTAGTCCATGATTTTCCCAAGAGGAAGTGCACTCCGACACAGCGTCTGAATAGATGCACAAAACTTCTCTATTTCTTTTGATACTAGGTCCTTCTCCTTTCTCCTGGCTGCTTCTGACAAAAGCGGCTTCTCCTAATTTAATTGAGTAAAAAAAACAACAACAAAAACACAGGGAAAACATGAAGTCAAGAAAGGCCCTGAACATTTTAAAGAGGTGAACTAAAAAGAATGTTAAAAACAGGAAGCTGTGCATTGTAAAGGGGATGTTTAAGACTGACTGCAATGAAGCTATAAAGCCAAGGCAGTATTCTAGAAGAGGTCAGCAGTATCACCACTTCATTGAAAAGTGCTTGTCACAGAACCATGTAGTAACAGTAGTAGCCACATTAAAACAGAATGATTTCAAGATCATTCAAGGCAAAAAAGTGCAAGTTTAATTACAAGTGCAAATTCACTTTTGGCAATGCATAGTTTACGTGACATCATACAAAGATGAAGCTCAAAGGAAAAAAGAAGGCCTCATTTAATCTGAATCTTGAATCTATATGTAAAGAGGCAACATCTCTACTGCCCAAACTGAACTACTGAAGACACTATCCCCCCAGGATTCTCACTCTGGCAGAGCTCCCCTAATTCATAAAGATTTGTTTTGTAACCCTTGAAGGCAATGGTAACAGGGTGAGTACAAACCAGGCACCCCACTGCAGACTGTAATTGTTGCCCAAACATTCCAATCTGTTCCTTCAACTGCGTGGGTGGCCATTTGCCCAGAAAGAAAAGCCCATTCAGAAGGATCAGTGGAATATCAAAAGCATTTGAGAGAAAAATCTGTAAAAAGGCTAGTGTCGAATTCTGACAGGAGGTGAGTGAGATTCCTGCAAGATGGAATCTTCAGAATCCATGTGGCTAGTCTTCTCTTTAGCTAGGACCCTCTCACCACCAGCTTCTCATGGGGAGGGTGTTAAACAGTTTAAGCAGCATTCTTGGGAAGGATATACTTGACTGCCTTAAGACAAAGAAGCTGTGTGAGGAGTCTGCCACATCTCCTTAACCCAGGGGCTGGCAAACTATGGCTGGATCCGGCCCGTGGGCTTGCCCCCCCATCCCCATGGCACTATGTCCCTGCAGCCCC